ACACACAGACACAGACACAGACACACACACACACACACACACACACACACACACAAGTACACACACATACACACAATACATACAGACAAACGCTGGCACACATATGCGGAATTCACTAATGATTTCCTCAGATGCTAGTATCATCTTGAAACTTTTTAAAAAAGTGCAATATAACTGCAGTTATCATATTGTTTACTATTGAGTGATGTAACACCAGATTAGTTGATCGGACGATCACTTCACATAACATTTAGTACTAATTTCAAGCCCTTCAAACATAACAGATCGAGCAGAACATACTCTGTATAGGTTGTCCATATTCATTTACGACATGCCAAGATGAAGCTGAATATGGATCATCTAGAAGGCATTCCAGTATAACACTTTCACCGATCGGAACTAACAATTCTGACGGAAGGTCCGTTAACATCATCGAACTTTTAGCTGGATGTTCAGCTGAAAAACATTACGGACAAATAATTCAAACGGATCATATCCATACAATGCCATATTACAATTTTTTGGATTCCATATTTCTTAGGTCTCGAATATAACAGAAGCTTAAATTTCCAGAATAAAACTTTCTGTACATCCAACATAACAGAACCATCCTCTCTCTCTCGATGAAAAACTTATTAGAAAGTTTGAAATCAAGGAAAACAAGAAAAGTCCGACTCCCTTCTTTCTTTTTCTTCCATGAAATGCAGAAAAAAAATAGATTCATTGAGAAAGCAACATAACCTACCATTATAACTTATTACGACTAAAAAATGGTCAACAATCTTTTTTTAGTGAGAAAAAGTATAGTAGAGTATGGTGCGATCAGAAACAAACATAATTAAACAAACCTTCGCTAAAAGTGACATTTATGACCGCTATGTCACTAAATATACTTCCACTACGGCAACGATAATGGCCACTGTCGTTCAGATCTGCTCCCATCAAATGCAATACTGATTGATGCTCAGCAGTATATCTAAAAGTTTTGAAATGGGTTAAATACTGTGGAGAAAAAACAAGAAATTATATTGAAATATAGAAAACAAGCAGTTCTAAATCAAATTTCAAAATACATTCTCTGCACTGCTATGTTATGCAGGACGTTCTTGACTTGCATTAACATAACATATCCGATAACATGATGAAAACTTGATAACAAAAGCTGATAAAAAAACAATGGAGCAGACAAGTAATCAGTCTTAAGCTCGTTAATAAGAATACACCAATCACTCACATATGAACATTATCAACTCTCTTCGCCTCAACTAGAATTTCCGTGTCATTTTGATACCAAATAATTTGGTCAGAATGTGAACCACTCGTTACACATTCTAATCGAAAAACCGAGCCACTTGCTACTGTTAAGCTGAAAAAAAAGAAATTGAAGTGAACTTGATTTATCATCGTTCCAGAACTGGATAGCCACAATAACCTAATAAGCAAATTCTTTTCAAATGGTCATTGACCATTTTTTACTGTTTGAAATTTTTGAAAATGACTGTTTGAAATGATCAATGCTAACAACAGCCAACTCTCCGTTTCAATCTATGCTCTTCTCCTATTGTCTGTAAGTTTTATAGATTTTGCAACTGAATATGTTAAATACAGTTTGCTACAAGAAAAGAAACAAAAGACCAAGCACTATAATCTTTTATTTTCTATTAAGCTAACTTATTATCATCATGGAAATATATTCATAATATTAAATTAATCCTATAATTTATTTTGACAGAACTATAGAGATAAATAATGTCAAACAAAGAGAACTGAGGATCATTCTAAAATTGTTTACAAATGTCTTCGTAAATGATGCTCGTAATTCAAACAACTAAATATAGATGAGTGAAAAATACGAAAATGAATCATGAAGCCATTGATGCAGTTAAAAAAATTACTTTTTTGGATGAATGGTAAAACGAATTGGTATGGCACGCTTCACAATAAGCGCGTTACTCAGCACTTTTCCTGGAGGTAATTCTGCTGAACGTTTTATCCGATTACTTAAAAGATAATTGTCCAGAAGATCAGTAGATACAATTGCCACATCAGCTACACATCGATATAATCCCTGAAAGAGACAATTGTACACAGGCATTCAAAACAAGGACTATTTTCATAAGCAAATATAAAAATAAGCAATAAAAAAGCAAGTTTCTGTAAAAACATGTTTTATAGTTTGTTTCTATATGGTGCAAAATACGGAAGAACTTTCTCAACAAAAACCTTTACGTTTAAATTTCATTTACCATAATATAAATTCCTCATTAACAAAGGTTCTTCTATCTAAAATTTGCCCAACATTTATGCTGAAAAACTGCATAATCTAACAGATCCATCAGATTCAAACTTTGCTAATATTAAAGAATTGAGAGTAAACTGTGAGAGTAAACTAAATGAGAGTAAACTAAGTTCACAAATGCTGCTCACCAAATTTTGGCCATTCAGTATCAAAACTGATGAATTAGTTGTAATTATGAATTCATTATCTTTCCACCACATGACATCCATATCTTCGCCCAATCCAAGTAAACTAGCCCGACATGTAACAGTCAATTCGTCCTGAGGCTGCAGTTCGATCACATATGTTTGAGCCGATTCTGCCGTGAACGTTTCGATCTGACTGTTGTGAATAACGATGAAAGTAAACAACACGAATTGTCTGCTGTGATACTGCTCAGGTTCATCGTCTGATACGCTACAAAATGAACTTATTTATAAACTATAAACTTTTGAAATAAAATCAATGCCTTAATTATATAAAATATTTTAGCAACACCTTGCCGAAGCAATGATTGCATTAAATGATATAATTAATGAATTCGGCAATAACGCTGACGTTATTAAATCGGCAACAATCTAAAATCACTCCTACTAAAGAACAAATTCCTGAACTTATTTGAAGAGAAGTGCTGCTTTATATAAGGGACGAAAGAAAAAACGAAGTTTTAATTTTGTATTAAGAATAAATACGACTTGACTGCTACTAAGTCGAAGCGAAATTTAAATTATTCGACTCCTCGTCTTGCAGGTTCCGAATAACACATCTATTTCAAACTGGTATTAACTTATAATTGAAAGCCATACTAACAGTGGACCAATACTAACAGTGATTTAACATCAGTTAATGGAAAGTAAGCAGAAGATGGAAAACACTGTAGCAATCGGACACATGAAAAGTCCACAGGCATTCACTGACCATGCATTTCTTTGAAAGTATCTATTTCAATGCATTAATAATCATCTTGCTTTCATCTCTTCCATTCACATCCTTGCCCTTAATATTCAGCTTCCGGAGTGCCTATCTTCCTTTTCCTCATGATAAAACATCTCTCTCGTCAAATAAACTAATTTTCCTGTTAAATTAAGCAGAAGCAAAAATGAAAAGGAGTGGTCAAATCTCAACAATATACTCGGAACAAAAAAACCTAACATAAAGGCCAACCAATTTATGCGTTGAATAAAATTAAATGGTTTCATAGTTTCTATTGTAACACTTTTACAAGTAATCCAAATAAGTTTGTGTCAGGAATAAATAAAATTTACTACCGTGAGATAATTCTAACAGTCAAATAGAATTTCGCAGCAGACATCAGGAAAAAAAAAATATATATATATATGTATAAATATACCCTTCTGTGTGTTTCCATTTATCGAACGTGATTTCATTCCCTAACAACGTAGTATTTAAGATACTAATACTAGCTAAACTACTGCTGCTGCTTCTGTAGTCGCTGCTTCTCCTCTGTTGGGTCCTGGTTAACGCATCAATGCTGCGCTTCCAGTTATGATGCTGGATATGGTTACCATTTACCAAAGGAAATCCAACTTTACCTATAATAAATAAATATATCATTAGCTATTTTTAATAAACAAATGAAACCTGAGATATCAATCAAAAATGAGAAAAAAAAACTTGCGAGCGGTTAATTAGCAGATTAACTCGAAACCGAAAAAGGTGGGAAGTTTTTCGAAAACTATATGAAACGACGAAACCAGAAGTATTCAGAAGGAAACTTCATTTACATTCTTTGGACTTTAAATTGACATAGTTAATGGAAATTTATCGTGGCACTGCAAATTATACCGCATTGTTGCTTACTTTTATCGAAGAAAGTTGCTCCAAGCGGCACAAATACAATTTCGAGTTGTAGAATAATGGCGAAGATTACAAAAGAGAAGGAGTAGCCACCTTCACAGTCTGACAATCTTGATTTTGAAACGTAATGTTTAACCGATTCTTCCCTGAAAAGTACTGCTTCCATTTTTGGTTATAACTATGGGTAACCGGATAACTGCTATATTCATTTGCAATTATATTACCATTAAGTAGTAAGCAAAAAATATATGAACACATATTCTAATCTGCTAGTGAAAGGTAGTCCTTTTTTTTTCCTTAACATTACCCTTTAACTTTGGAACTGACGGTGAGAAAAAATGCAAAAAAAAAAAGAAAAAAACTACAGCTGAGAAGTGAGTGATCTTGGTTTATTCAAATCGATTATGGCTTTCAAGCATCATCAACATCGAGAGGTAGCGAATGGTAAATTTCATTTACATAAAATACATTTCTAACCATATGTGCTAAAAAACTAAGGAGAAAAAGGATAAAAAAAAACCTCTCAAAATTTGCGACATCCATACCAGCTGCTGGACGAAGCAAAGATGGTTCGTTGAAAGGGACCATCGATAACTGTGGCTTACAAGCATCATCAACATTGAGAAGCAGCGACCTTCTGAAACTGATTACTACTAATAATGGTTTACGCAAACTATCTGATAACCTTTCTGGCTGTATAAACATTTTAAGTGTTTGAAAATCTTGACTTAGCTAATAAACGATTAAAATTCATAATTTGAGATTGTAAAGTGACAATGTTCGCCAGGTATAGAATCATACTACAGATAAGAGAAGTACCAGTCATGGGAGGAAGTATAAATTAATTTTGGTAAAGAAGGCAAATTTTGTCTTTCTGTTATAGAAAGTGTTCCATTTAACACTCAGTTGATGACTAAATGGTTTTAAAAGGCGTAAGACTGATCAATTGATCAATTGTTATCCTAAAATCTTGATGATAAAAAGCAATAACAAACCTGGAAGCCTCAAAATGAGACCTGTCTCTCTTTCCTTTAGCAAACAACACAGTAGACTTGTTCAGATTTTTATGTAGGAATAAATAAGTTGTCCTGGTCGTTCACACGCCCTTTGCTGATCGTTCACTTTATCGTATTTCGTACTCCTTTATAGTTCAATTCTTGGTCTGAAATTTACTACTTTGAAAGGATCAATGTTACGAAAACATAACTTTTGTAAGGTAGTGCAACAAGATAGTAGCAATTTATCTTCAGCGATACTAAAAGGAGAAAAAAAAAAAGATGTTATAAACCGAATTACGAGTGTCCTATCATTAGTGTCACCTTACATCCATTTGCAAACAATCTTCACGATTAAATGCAGAAAACAATAATACGATGCTAGATATATTCAGAACATTCTATTTAATTCATCTCCGAGTTTAACAACCTATGATGGAACTAATCGATTAGTGATATTTCGATGATAAATAAGGAGGAATTTTTTTGTTTGTTTGTTTTAAAAATATTAATATATCAGATTGAAATATCTAACAATATTAATATTTTAGAGATCTTTCTTCATTATTTTCTAAAAGTTCTTTTTCATGGCAGATGAATACTTCATGGTAATTATTATAATTGAATACACTGATTGCACGGTCAAACCAGATGTTCTGAAACAGTATTCCAAAACCACTTGTACAAATTGCTGCCCAGAAACTTGAGCCACTATTTTTACAGCAAATTTACGTTTTGCAGTTAAAAGAATTATTTTCTATAATTGCTCTTATTATTATATTGCTTATTCCGATTATTTCAAAATATTCCCACCCCAAAAACCTCCAAAAAATAAAAAAAAATTGTTAAGCATTCCTGAAAAAAATTTCTGAATATTTCGCACAATAAAATACACGCAGAAAAAATCAATTACTCTTTTTATCTATCAGCAAAGAAATTGATTGCAGAATTGTAACAATAAAAAAAGAAAAGGATAAAAATTCAAAAAGACGGAAATAAAGTGTATAAAGCAAACAATATGTCTTATGCAAATATTGTAATATTATTCTAATCGCGAGATTTTGTAATTTATCATCAAATTCAGAAAAAAATTCATTGTGTGTTCTAATTTTTTTTTACAGCTAATAATTACCGGTAAATTCTTATTTAGTTGAATATGGAGTACTACATTCTATCCTTGGTTATAGTAAATATTCGGCCGATTTGAAATCAAAAAAAAAAAAAAAGAAGAGAACTATCTAAGGGAAAGTATGAAACGCTTTAAATCTAAAAAAAAAAAAAAAAAAAAAACAGAAAAAAAT